TGTGGGGTGTGTGTGCACGTGTGTGTGCATGTGGGTGTGTGGGTGTGTGTGCGTGCGTGTGCGCGTGTGTGCGCGCGCGCAGACCAAAGCCGACAGCAAGGGCTGGCTCTTCCGTGTCACAGTCCCACTGTGCGCCGCCTTCCTCCGGGCCAGGACCTGCGGCACCCCTCAGTGCTCTGTCAGGGAGGAAGAGAGCCGAGCTGGGGAACTACGGCATCTACACAGAGTGGCTGAATCACCACTTCCTTCTATCAATAAACAAATGAAATCCGTATTTGTGCCGCTAACCACAGAGAAGGAGAATGTTGGCAGGCAGAGTAGAAATCCAATCTGGAAACTACAAATTTAAAAACAATTGTTTTAAATTTTATATCACAAACTTCCTTTCCGAGGCTTCTGTTAGCTGCATCTATGTTAGGGTATCCTTCTGGGAGAAGAAATAGAAGCATCCTCGAGCTTTGTGCTGCCTGGGGCCCGCATGGACGCACACTGCGGGCCTGGGCTGCACACCGGTCTCTCATTCTGATACATAGTTGCATTCCGCAGTAGTAGACGCACATGCTTTGTCTCTTGATTTGCAGTTTGGGGAACAGTTTCAACGTGCTCCCTTGCAGAGAGCATTATTAACAACCCACTGGCATACAGTTTCAGGCTCTTTCACAGGTGAGAGTGGAAATTGAAAGAGTGGATTAGAGAGTTCTCTGCAGGCACCCGGGATAATTTATCGCCCTTCTGCGGTAATGGCTGAATGTATATATCTGTCACCATATGTAGCTTTCCATTTAGACTTCTAATCAATGGTAAAGAATAAGAACTGGTTTTCAAAAACCATCCCTTGGAGTGGAACTAATCAGCTTGTGGTTTCCTTTCAGGTAGTCTGACCATTCCCCAATATGCCCTATATATATCCTTAGATGGGAAATGACCTAAACTTCCACTTCCAGTTGTGTAGATTATTTATCCCAATGCCCCCTCCATGTCTACCCAACCCTCTACTTTGCATATTAAAGTTAAGTCTCTAATCATTGAATCTTCGTGTCCAGAAAGTTGATCTGGAGTTGCCATTACATGCAAACTTACTTTGTACATTATGGCATGAGTTAAAAAGAAACTATTATAGAATTCTTGTATTGTTTACTAGTTTGAAAGTCGTGTGAATGATGAGGATTTATTCCTTTGCCTGACTAGATCCCCTGGGTTTTATTTGTTGAGAATGTTATTTTCCCATAGGCATTAGCTCGCCTGTTTGGAGGGAAAAAGTTCCTTTTTTTATCCTTAGTTTGGTGATGTTAATAGAGTTTAGGAGAAGAGAGTTCAAAGAGCATAAACAAGCTGATGGCAATTTCAGATCATTGGAATATTTTTAAACAAATGAAAAATTGCTTGACCTTGTATTAAATATTATAATTTATAAGAAACTCACTATACAAATTGTATATTTCCTATAATATGAAGTTTCCTGTGTGCAGATTTTAATCAAAACCACAAGGCAGATGAATTTGGATTGGGAAATCTTCTCCTATTCATCCTTGTAAGGAGGGGAAGCTTTTATTTTGCCCTTAAAAACTATCCTGAAAGAGTAGGAAATGTTTTTCATCCCTATTTATTTCTAGAATTTCCAGTATTTTCTAGAAATTCTAATAACTAAGGCACCTGGATCATTTCTAGGTTTCTGTCCTATTAAAAATAAACAGAAGGTTTAACAGGTTAAACAGAAGGTTTTCATTCATGTAAGTTATTTCTAGAAATTGGCCCATCATATCTCCATGTAGTAGTAGTAACTCAATCTATCGCCCTAAAGTACCGTGATTACCAAGATGTAGGCTACTTTAACACTTTCAGTTATTACATTGTCAGTAAATTAGACTCCATGGACAATATAAACATTCTTTTGGGAAGAATTTGGTAACAGGTAAGAGATGGTTCATGTCAGAAGGTTTCGTGTTCAGGGACTAGAAGTCAGCATCATTTCAGATGGAAAACGTCTCCTTGCTGTATCCTGCTTTGTTGGCTGACGGTAGCTGTGACAAGTGGCATACTATTAAAATCAATATGATAAATCTCTTTAAAAAAGGATACCTCTTCTGCTGTGCATTCGTTCTTACCTTGCCTCCCCCTAGGGTGGCTAGGCTTTTAAATACCTTGGGAGACCAAGAATAGTTCTAAATGGTACCCTACATTACAGACCCTCACACTTCCTAATTTTAAAACTATGACCAAAAACTAGCTGAACTTTGTTTGACTGTATATCCATCAAGGGAATCAAAGGGAGCCCAGTAATATGAACATGTGTACTTATATAAAGCTTTTGCTCCTTGTCTAAACAGGCAAATATGCATCTTATAGAACACTAAAAGCCCTATAATGGAGTAGTAAATTTTAATATTTGGCATTTATAGGCTTTTAATTTCTTTTAAACAAATTTGGAAGTGATACGTCTATAGAAATTGACCAAGATAGTGAATTTCAGTAAGAATGACCTATAGCTCAAACTTTTCTGCTAAGTAGAAAAAAATTTTTCTAGAAGGATCTTTCCCTGAGATTTTATCTTCAAACCATGGAGAGTTTCAGAATGCATAAACTACTAAAATTATACATTGATAGTTGAAAGGAACCTTAGAGACGACATCCAAGCTATTTCTTCATTTTATAAGTTAATTAACTGAAAGTGGAGCCCAAATAGGAGTTTGAAGAGGGACATCACCACACTGCACAGAACCACTCTGCAGTGATGAAAGTGGACGCAGTGAATTATGGTATACAGTGTGTTGCATCTAAATTAATTCATTTATAAGGGAATATCTTTTAAAATGTGCTATATATTTAAAAGTTCAATTTATCAAAGTCATCATGTCATACTTGTTAAAAAGATTCATTTCTTGCTGAACTATTGCCAATAAATTTTCCAGAAATGACATTCTTTACAGTTTATTGTGTTCTCATTATCATGGCACAAGTCACATCAAACGTATTTCTTTAGTGACACTCAAGAGGAATGAGAATGTGCATTCTGCTCCTGTATGTGGAGGTTCCAATTTCTTAAGAGAAATGAGAATTTTTAGGTGAAGATTATTTTCAGGACTCAATCAGCTATAAACTGTTACATTTTTGTTTTTTAAATACTTGCGTGATTAAGGAATAGAATAGCACTCTGAAGGGAATCTATTTCCTTTAAGTACTGTAATGTTATTTAATTACTTGAGTTAAGCCTCAAAACTTTGTTGATCTGTAATTGCTTATGTTGCAACTTAATTTAAATGTCAGTAGGGTTGAGAGGAAGTTTGGAAATCGATTTACTATTGGATTGAAGTATTGGAATAATTTAGCATTATTTTTTTTTTTTTTTGAGACAGAGTCTCGCTTTCTTGCCTAGGCTAGAGTGAGTGCCGTGGCGTCAGCCTAGCTCACAGCAACCTCAAACTCCTGGGCTCAAGCAATCCTCCTGCCTCAGCCTCCCGAGTAGCTGGGATTTTTATATTATATATATTAGTTGGCCAATTAATTTCTTTCTATTTTTATGGTAGAGACGGGGTCTCGCTCAGGCTGGTTTTGAACTCCTGGCCTTGAGCAATCCGCCCGCCTCGGCCTCCCAGAGTGCTAGGATTACAGGCGTGAGCCACCGCGCCCGGCCTAGCATTATTTTTTATTTCTCTTTCTTTTTTGTTTTCTCTTTTCTTTTTTTCATCTGTCCCTAAGGCATTATTTATTAAATTTTATTTTATTATTCTTTTTGGATTCTAATATTATATAGATAAGGTTAATGTTTGTACAAGTAAAAGAATCAAAATTTGTTATGTAATGACATAAGATTGAATGATATATATGTTTGATGTAAAGGATATTACTGTAAAAATAAATTAGTTTTCTTTTCTATAAAGGTTAGAGGAAAACTTGATTCTGCAGGATTATTTTAAAAAGTCTAATATTTCTCATTATTTTTTAGCTACTATGTGCTCTTCATGAAAGGGAGATGTTGAAAAGAATTTAGAAACCTAGAAACTTCCTACCCTAGGAAATTCTATTCTTTAGGACCAAAAAGCAAAGAAGTTCCAAATTTATCATTTCTTTTACAAATCTGAAAATCTGAATCATAATTTGGTTGAATTGCTTGACCTCTCTCTTCTGACAGGGAAGGCCTTTCACTGTCCTTGCCTGCCATCACAACATGCCTGTAAAACAAGGGGACCCGGTTCCACCGTGCTGTAGATTGTTCACATGGGAATATACACAGCAGCGCAAGGAGCCCGGAACTGTGCTACCCCTGCCCTCTGACATCGGTGACAATTCCCCCCTGCTTAATGGCAGAACCAGGTCTCTTGACTGCCTTTGTGGATAAGGATAGTGCTCCATAACTTTCATGTCCTAGTTCATGCTTCGCACTCCTATACCTTCTTTTTGTATGTGTCTGTGTGCATGCGTTGTGTGTGAACTGAACTGAAACTTCCCTGAACTTTCCTTTCAATGAGAAAAAAAATAAATGGCTGAGGTTTGCAATTTGTCAAAAGCTTTGAAAAGATTGCTTTAGCAGACTTTATTTCTGACAGTTTGTGCTGCCTTTCCACCCTTTGAGAGGGACCTGGTGGGATGGCCTAATTTACTTTGTGCACAACAATTATTAATACAAATGTCTACCTTGGCCTACTTCCTTTCATTTGTGCAATTTCAGGGATGGCTGGTTAGCCTCCTCCAGGCAGGACGTGGACCCAGTCAGGCGCGGGGCAAGTGCTTTATTCTCCCCCAGCAGCCCCTGAGCGCGCTGTGGCTATAGCCCACGGAGCGCTTTCTTTTACCCCGCAGCAGTTATTTAGAATCGTCGATAGAGGTAATTTAGCAGCGGCTCTAAAAATGCTAAGCTACGTGTCCTGTCTCAACGGAGAACATTTCTATTAGGAAAGACAAGAAACGTATTCAGGACACTCTTGATGGTAACATTACGGTGTCTGATTTAGTCCCAGTATTGTTAATTGTATAATGTTACCTGTTAAAATAAATTAAGGCAGTTTCTGTTTCAATATAATCAATTTTATTGCAGTGCGAAGAGAGGACTGGCAAAAGGTTTTGCAGTTGTTGGGAAGTATGAGAACGAAGTATGGGAGTCTGCGAATGTATTAACGTACGACTGTACGTTCTGTTGGAGAGTTTAGGACTGGATGTTGCAGTGCCTGGCATTTAGTAGGTGCTCAAATAAATGTTAGTTGAATAAAATGTATATAAAGAATGTATTTTTCAAAAATCAATTGTTTATGGTATGCCTTCTACAGTCCAAGGACTACAAGGTATAGTTAAACACAATGGTTAAAAAGTGTAGGCTGTGGAATCTGACAGACCTGAATGTGTGTCTCAGTATTTCCACTTACGAGTTGTGTGTTCTTAGGCCAGTCACCCGATGTCTCTCTGTCTCAGTTTCCACAACTGTAAAATGGGGCTGGTAATGGCATCTAGTAGTGTCCACCAACCCAGCAGCAGTGCCTGGCATCTTGTAGCAGCACTGTGAATGCTAGCTGTCCCAGGAGCACGCAGTTGGATTGGACAGATAAGACATCAGTACCTGCAATTTAAGGCAGAATGTACTGCCATAAAAGAGTTATGACAATAGTCTGTGGATATTCAGAAGAAATAAAGTTCCCATCTGCTGTAGGAAAGTTGCAAAAAGCTTTGGAAAGAGGTGGAAGCCTCACGGCCTGGACGGGATTTGGCAAGCGGGCTGAGCAGGAGGGCACACGGCTGTGGGGCCCGCAGGAATGAAGCATGCTAGGGCCTGGGAGCATGTGTGGCACTTGGAAGGAGGTCACAGGGCTACGGGACTGGAGCCAAGGGCTTTGGCTGCCACGTCTAACTGCGCCTTGATTTGGTCAAAATGAGATGTCATTACCTTTGAGGGAGGACACGTGAAGTTTTAACACTTGTCCGTCCATCCTGCTAGAACTGCCTGAGTGCTCTGAGTGCCTCGTTCTTCCTCTGACATTTCAGCAGCTCTGCTGTTGTCCTTCAGGTTTTGTGACCTGATTGGAAGAGTTTATTTGGCCTATCACAGAAAATGTGGGAATGGGTGATTCATGTAAATTCTATGGTAACTCATCATGAACAATGTCTAATATTTAAGAATTTCAAAATCTTTTAGGCATAAAATTATAAATTTTCATAAGTATTTAATACTTATAATGTTTTTGAGTCCTTATTGAATAAATATAAATAATATTATCTTATAAATTATATACAGTAGTCCCCCCTTATCTGGGGGTTTACATTCCAAGACCCTCAGTGGATTCCTGTAACCATGTGTAGTATCAACCCTATAGATACTATGTTTTCTCTATACATATGTACCTATGGTAAAGTTTAATTTATAAATTAGATGCAGTAAGAGATTAACAGCAATAGCTAATAACAAAATAGAACAATTATAACAATATATTGTAAGAAAAGTTGTATAACTGTGGTATCCCCTCCCCTCGAAATATCTTATAGTGCTGTTCTCACCCTTCTTGTGATGATGTGAGATGTTGAAACGGCTGCATGATGAGATGACCTAAGGTGAATGACGTAGGCATTGTGGTGTGGAATGAGGCTACTGTTGACCTTCTGAGGATATGTCTAAAGGAGGATCATCTGATCTGGGTGATCCTGGGTCATCCAGCCATGACAGTGTCGATGGTTGGATGTCAGGGGCAGACCATGTGGGTGGCTAGTGGGCAGGTCTCGTATACAGTGTGGCTGCACTAGATGAACGGCTGATTCACGTCCTAGGCGGGACGGAGAAGGATGCTGTGAGATTTCATCACTCCACTCAGAATGGCATGCAATTTAAAACTTATGAATTATGTCTGGAATTTTTCATTTAATATTTTCAGAGCACAGTTGGCCGTGGGTAACTGAAACTGTGGAAAGTGACACCATGGATAAGGCAGAAACTACTGTCTTATATATTACTGAGATTATATTCCTGCAACTGAGCATGAAGAGATAGAAACCTAAAATAACTAAAATAAATTGAAAGCATGTTTTAAAAAACTGTTAAAACATTACAGGTAAAAATTAGTACTAATCGATCAACACTAACGTGCACATATGGGAGGTAAAATTCATAGATGGGGGGGGCAGGGGAGGGGATGGGCAAATCCACACCTAATGCAGTGTGTGCTGTCTTGGGGTGGGCATGCTTACAGCTCTGACTCCGGCAGTGCAAAGGCAATTTATGTAACCAAAGCATTTGGACCCCTGATACTCTGAAATAAAATATATACATATATATGACTCGCAAAAAACAGCAAAACACAGCACCCTCCCTGGGAGTTGTTCTCCACCCTCTTTATCCTCATACTTTTTTTGCTTAGCCCCGTCACCACCTGCCACGTGACCTATGAACACTGTCTTAAAGTCTACCTCCCTCTCAGAGTGACAGCAGGGACTTTGTTTTATTTACTCTGTTTGCTGTATCCCAGTACCTATAGAGTGTCTGTAGAGTGTCTACATGAGTGAATCAATAAATGATCAGCTGTCCTGCCCACGCCTGCCCGCGCGCACACGCCACACTCCGGCCCTGGCGGTGGAGGGCGCAGAGCGTCTCCGCCCCAGCCCGCGCCCGCGCCTCCAAGTTTCTCTCTCGCTTTCTTTCCTTCATCTTAGACGAAACAGCGTCCCTTCCCCTACTCCTTATTCCGACTTCCTTTCCTTTTGTGTTCTCTTTCATATTGATTTTGCTCCATGAACCATTTCTTTTTTTCTAACTAACGATTTTTTGTCGGTCTGTAAACATTTTCAAATATTTTCCACCTTACCACAAAAACAAAGAAACAAACAAAAACAAAGGAACCTTTTCCTCAGCCCTGTTTCCCTTTTAGCTGCTATCTTGTTTCTTTCCTTCCCTTCCCGCAAAGTCGCTGAGGAGAACGGTCTGCTCAGGTCGGCAGGCAGTCGCTGCTCGCGCTCCCCGCTTCTTGCCCTGTAGGCCTTGCCCGTTAATCCCGGCACCCTCTTCCAAAGGCGACGACCCAGCCTCGGAACCTCCCTAACGCTTTAATCAGGCAACCGTTACAGACCAGTCAGAGCTGGCACTTCACGGGACGCCTCTGTCCCGTCTACGGAGCTTATTCTTGCCTTTATTTCCTCACCTCACTGCTCACTCAATTGCAGTAAAAAGTCTGACTTCCTGCTGGTTAAACGCAATAGACTCTTTGCAGTCCTCATTTTAATCAACGTCTGTTTTTGAAATTCTCTCCAGTCTTGATTTCTGTAACTCTCATGTTTGTTGTTTTAAATTCTTTTCCTCATTAGCTTCCTTTTTTGGAACACTCTTCCTGTCCTGCCCCTGGTATGTTTATATTTCTATACCTAGGGTTTCTTAAACTGAGTGAGTGATTTCCTGAAGAATCCATGTATGGATTTAAGAGTTTCTCTGTGTGTGTGTGCAAATTTTTGAGTGTTTCATATGTGGATATTTCTAACTGCAGCAGCTATAGTTTTTATCCAGTTCAACAGAGGGTTAAGAATCACTGTCCATAGCTTCAGCCACTAGGGTGGTACAAGGGAGAGCACAAAAGTGTTCAAGTTAGACAAACCCCTGTTCACATTCCAACTTCCCCATTTGGAAGTTTTATGACCCCTAATTTGCAGGGCTGTTGTGACAAAGAGAGATGTCATTTGTAAAGCTCTAGGGGTCTTGTAGCAGTCAGTAAGTGGTAACTGTTGTGATGCAGCCCCAAACATCTGGGTCCCTGAAGCACATAAGCTTGTTGGCTCGCAGAGCCTCTCCTCCCCAATTTTAAACTAGCTTTTCATTCTTAGGATTCTGCCTTGCTGAAGCAATAAGCCTTATGTGACTCATGCGTTATAAGTTAATTGGCTTTCTGGGTGTTAGAAATCAGCTAGCGCACGTTCATTAACGCAAGACATCTAGGATAGCTGCAGAAGGCACTGTCCAGTCCTTCTTTTCTGCACAATATTTAGAAAATTGGAATTCGGCACATATGTAAATTTAATCAGACTGAGAAATGTTTATAAAATTGGCTTTCAGTATTTATCTGGAGCAATCAAAATAGCACACATTAAGGATGTTATTTTATTTTATTTTTTTGAAATAGAGTCTCACTCCATCCACTCAGGTAGAGTGCAGTGGCATCGTTACAGCTCACTGCAACCTCAAACTTCTGGGCTCAAGGGATCCTCCTGCCTCAGCCTCTGGCATAGCTGGGACTACAGGCATGTGCCACCATGCCCGGCTAATTTTTCTATTTTTAGTAGAGATGGGGTCTTGCTCTTGCTCAGGCTGGTCTCGAACTCCTGACTTCAAGTGATCCTCCCACCTCAACCTCCCTGAGTGCTAGGATTATAGGCCTAAGTCACCGTGTCAGGCCAAAGATGTTACTAAACATAGCAGAAACCAAATTATTCATATGTACAATGTAATAAAAATTGGTAGGGCAGTAAATATTGCCTAGGCATGCGTTTTTAAAGCTATACAAGCTGAGCAGGTGTCTTTCCACACATGTATTCCATATGTTCATTGTATCCTACAAAACATAGGTCTGTAAAACTGATCATTTATCTACACCTTGGTAGCCAATCCTGCTTCCATGCCAGTTTGTGAAGAGGCTTGGATATGTATTATGATTTAGAAGCTTGATACACATTTGTAGTCAAAAGCATAAGTTCTTTATACAGCTTCATAAAAGTAATGCAGCTAAATTACAACCCAAATATTTTGGTTTGTAAAACAGCAAAGGTTCCAACAAACCTTGTGCTGAGCAGGGTCCCAGTCCACGTGGAGCCGTGACCTCCTGCCACAAGTGTTGGGCGGCATAACTCTCCTGCCTTTTCCTCTGCTCTGAATCTACTCCTAAGGGTGATGTGGAGCATACACAAAGGTAAATTTAAAACCCTTACTTACTGAATTTTGGAGAATGTGCTATAAGAGTTTTGCAACATTCTCCAAGTAATTAAAAACATCCTAAATTGGGAGAGGGTTAGAAATTGGAATTCCAAATCACTGACCTAGATCTTTGAATAAATGACTTTAATATGGAAAAAATTTAACAACTTAAGGTTCTGTTTAAAAGTTTTCTGCAGTGAATTAGAGATCATGTGATAATATATTTTTAACCACAAATAGGGTTAGTAAAATTTTGAAAAGTACAGGAAAACTATAAAGATAGAAATAACTACCCATAATCCTACCATCTAGAGATAACTTATCCACTGTCTTTGTACACCTTTCCTTTCTCCCCCCTCCTTCTTTGCCTTCTTTCCTTTCTTTTTTTCCTCTTTTCTTTTTTCTTTCTTTTAGAAAGAAACTATATGTCTGAGTAAATACATAGGTATACACAAATAAAACTGTATCCTAGACAATATATAACTTGTATTTTGTATACTGCAATATAAATATATATAAATACACATAAAATTTATAATTAGAATAACGCTTCAGTTCAGTGTTGTATCATAAAAAAATAGGGATACAGTCAAATATTTACAGATGCTCCTCAACTTACGATGAGATTATGTCCCAATAAACCCATTGTGATTTGAAAATACTGTAAGTTGAAAATGTATTTCATACACCTAACCAACTGAGCATCATAGCTTACCCTACCCTATCTTAAATGTGCTCAGGATACTTACTTTAGCCTACAGTTGGGCAGAATCATCTAACACCGAGCCTGTTTTATAATAAAGCATTGACCAGTTAGTGTCATTTATTGAATACCATACTGAAAGTGAAAAACAGAATGGTTGAATGGCTACTCGCCACTCATGCGAACGGCTGAAAGCTCCCGGGGCCTGCACAGTGTTTGAAGCAGTGAACGAAAACTGATTGCTGGATGACAGGATGCTGCGGCGAGAGGCGGCAACCTCTCTCTCTTCTGATGAGGCTCAGGAATGGCAGGTGGAAGGTGCTGGAGCATCGTCACTTGGTGATGGCTCAGAGGCACAGTGTCCTTCAGGAAGAGACCAAGTGTCGATTGTACAGTTTTTCCTCTTTTCATTATATATTTCTCTATATTCAGCAAGAGCACCCCGTCAGCTCTTGAGAATCACTTATAATTGACATCCATTTCTTCTGACTTCTTACGCCACATACCACGGCTGACAGCAGCAAATGCCTCCACCAGTCTTTGCTGTGAACACTCTTGGTGCCTCGGGTGTAACTTCTTCTGCCTCAACTTCTTTCTTCCCCCAGTTTGATCAGCCTCTCCTTGGGAAGCTCTTCAGCCGCAATGCCAACAATCTCATGAATATCCTCTTCCTCCATGTCTAATTCTAGCTGTTTCCCAAGCACTAATGTCCTGTTACTTACTATTTCATCAACAGCAGAATCTTTGTTAGAGCCTTTGAATGTGTTCACATGTCTTCCGAATTTTCTTCCAAGTGCCATTCAAGCACCGCTGTGTGACTTCTTCCCATGCCGCAGCAGTGTTCCAGCATTCAGAATGTTAAACCATTTCCAGAACTCTAGGAGCATTTGGCCAGATTCAGTGGCTTCAACAGCCTGCGCAAATGTTTGGTATGCTTTGAATGCAGCTATTGCACCTTGGTCCATTGGTTAAATGACTGTGGTTGTGTTTGGCTGCAAATGAACAAGCTTTACATCGGGATGCATGTGGCTCTATATGCTGTGAGTGCCCTGGAGCATTCCTTGTCTAAGATCAGAAGAATCTTGAATGGAATAATGTTTTGCCTACAATATTCTCTTGCCTGTGGAATAAAACAGTGCAAAAGCCAGTTTTTAAACAATGCTGATATTATACAAGCTTTCTTGTTATGGTGATAATAAACAGGAAGTATATGCTTGCCCACATTCTTGAATGCTCTCAAGTTCTCCAAATGGTGATTTAGGAAAGGCTTTAATTTGAACCCTGCAACATTTCCACCCAAAAGCAGTGGTACACAGTCCCTGAATGCAATAAATCCTGGCATTTTCTTGGACTCTTGATGAATGTATGTATGCTTCTGCATACACTTCCAAAACAAGCTTGTTTCATTGACAGTAAATATTTGTTATGGCAAATATTTCTCATCTATGAATATCCCATGCAGCTCTTCCTAAAAGCTGTGGTACCTTCAGTATTGGCACTTGCTGCCTCCCCATTAACCTTCACATTATGAAAATTATGATGCCTTCTGAAATGTTCGAACTACCCATGACTTGTTACAAACGTGCATATACATAGGATCCATGGCACACTCTTACAACTTATAGGAAAGACTTCTCGTCTTAGCCTGTGTGGTAATTAGGCTAAGCAATATATGCTTCTGTATCTGGTCTCCCATCCATGTGACAGGAAATTTTTCCACTATCATCAATTGGCCAACCTCTTTTCTTCGTGATGACAGTGGATCGAACTGATGCTAACGATTTCTCTGTGTCACTGATTTGCTTCTTATCCTTTAAAGTGGTTGATATTGTGGATTGGAAAACCCTAACACTCATGCGATGGCCATTACTGGCTTGCCACCTTCACACTGGGCAGTTATCTTGAGTTTCATCTCAAGAGTAACTGCCTTCTTCTTCTTCCATCTCACCAGAAACAGTAGACACAGATGGGCATTTTGTAGACGAGCTGGGATGGAAAAACACAACTTCCAAAAAATGCTGGCAACACAGTACACTGCAGAGCATTGGTTGTTTACCCTTTTGTGATCTCATGGCTGACTGCCAGCATTTCAAGAGAATATTGTACTACATATCTCTAGCCTAGGGAAAGATCAACATTCAAAATTTGAAGTATGGTTTCTACTGAATATATATTGCTTTTTCCCCATTCTACAGTCAAAACATTGTAAGTTGAACCATCATAAATATATAGAAAGATGTAAACATTATTTATATAGTAAAAATCTGAATAAGCCTCAGTGGACCATTAGGCATCCAATAAATTTTAACGATGCAAATTAATGCATAAATAAGAGTCTTTATCTTTCTTAAGTTCTGTATATGAATTTTTATAACAATGTATGTGATAAAAGTCTTAT